GGATTTTATTTTTTAAAGTTTGTTGGTTGGTTTTGGGCTTGGTGACTGAGGTGCTTGTTGTTGTTGTTGTTGTTGTAGTTTCCACTAACTGTACTAGCTGTACTTGTTGTAATGTTGTTGTTGCTAACTGCAAATATGACAAAAGTATAGGTGAGTAAGGTGAGTTGCAATTGAGAGGCACAGAAAGAAAAAAAATAACATCTAGTTGAGTGTATCCATGTAGGAAAACTCGAACTACTTTCAAAGGATTTCCCTTTTCATAACGATTGATCTCAACTATATCTTATCTTTTTCTTTCTGTGTAGAAGTTGTACTACTGCGGGACTAATTGTTCTTAAATAAAACAAAGTTTTCATTCGAGTTTCTTTTGTGTATAAGTTTAAGTTTTTCATTTATTTGTTTTTCGTTTTCGTTTTTGGGTTTTCTGGTTTAAGATCAAAGAAATTGTATTTATGTACTGTTTGTTTTTGTTGTGGATTTGTTGAAGTGGCTGTTTCGAAATGTTTTGCAAATTTATCGTTTTTTCTTGTTTCTTGTTATTTTCCGCTGTGTTTGCTTGCCGCAACGCTTGGCTTAAAAATAAATAAGTTTCAATGATGGTTTACAATTTTCGTTTGTTCTTAGGTTTTTGCATTTGCACTACAGCGATTTCATAATTTGCTTATTCTTGGTTTTCTGATGCTAACAACATTTAATAAATAGTAGTTTTGAATAGTTTCTAATAATTTGTCCATTACTTGTGTGTGTGTGTGTATGTGTTTAAGTGTGGGTGTGTTATTTGGTTTGACTGTGTTTCCTGTTCTTTTTTTTTGTTTTTGCAAATTTGCTGTGCAGTACATGATATTTTTACTTTGTTTTTTGTTTTTCGTTTTTGCGGTTTGTTAATGCGTTTTTCCTCGCCTGATAAGATTGATGTGTGTGTATATATATATATATATATATGTATAGATATAAACGTATATATGTATATATATGTCTGGTTATGGCTGATTATGTCTGTGTGCCTGTGTGTAAATGCGACGCAGAATTGTTTCAAAAAATTAGTTCGTACATAGTCAAAAATCGGTTATCAAAAGGACTTTGCTGTGATTATGTTGCATTCCATAGGCTTATACATATATGTATGTAAGTATTATGTATGCGTTTATGTACGAGTGTTAATGTATGTATGTATGTTATAAGTGTACTTAGTATATAATTATGTATGTGTATGCATGTATGTGTTTGCTTGTTATAGAAGTGTATATGTATGTATGTATGTATGTATGTTTTGCAAGAGTAGTGTGTTTCTTTGATTTCCACATTACTAGCTTACTACACTTATTAGCATATTACGAATGGTTAACGACTCTTCAACTAAACACTTAGAAAGTTCGATTTAAATTTGTCTCTATATTCGGTTTTTTTTCGATATTCGATTCCTTACTGTTGTTCAGCCAACCACAAAAGTATGCTACATTTCGCAGCGCATTTCGCATTACAGTCGCGTCCTGGATGATTAAAATAAATGAGAACCCGCTGCTGCCCGAACGCAATAACGCAATGTGCGAATCCAAGCCCGAGGCGGAAACGGCGAAATTGGCTTGCCCATGCGTTAATTATTAAATTTAGTTAATGAGATTGTATTTATTCGGTGGATTAGTTTAACAAGTGTATGTGTGTGGTGTCAAATTCAGAAAACCATTTCCGCCACACAGCAAACCCTAAATTAAAGTATGAACTAACTAAACTAAACTAAACTAAACCGATCAACGAAAATTCAACTAAATTGCATATTAACATAGCTATTATTATTAGATGAGGGTATGGATGTGTAACTGACTGTGTGTGTGTGTGTGTGTGTGTGTTAACCGAACACAAGTCAAATTATATTGCACAACTGCCCTGCGGTTTGGCTTTACTAAGTGAGTGTGTGCGTGTGCGTTTCCGGTAGTATCTCTATGCCTCTGTATGTGTGTGTGTGTGTGATGGCTTACAACCGGTCGTTTATTGTTATAAATGGAATCGTCTTGGCTGCCATATTGGAGTGCTGATAAACTGCAGGTCCTGCAAAGCATACACATCCTGCCTGGTCGCAGGCCTGCTGCATACGAATGCAGTCGAAGTTCAGACTAAGCACCAGCACACATACACCAACTAATTGCAGCCCGAAAGTATGCAATTGTTCCGGGCAGGGCAACCCGCTCGCAGATGGGAGCTTAAAATTACTAATAAATTATTTAGGTCCCAGCCGTACGTTCGGTAGAGCTCCTACTAGGACCAGTTTCTTGAGCGGACCTGAGCGAGTGGGTGTATATGCATGGGTTTACCTAATGCTGCATGTCAGGGAACTAAATAATGTCTGCTAAATACCAGGCCTAATTCACTAATACTTGTCGTTTCGTGGGGGAAATGATTTCGAATCGAATTTCGTTTCTTGCATTTTCGTTAACGTTGCGTTGTGGCTTACTTTTTTGTTGTTCTTCTTGTTCTTGTTTTTTTTTACATACTTGCACACTAAGACATTAAGGTATGTGTATATGTGTGTGAGTGTGTGTGTTTAATAAGGAATCGTCAATATATATTTATATACGCTTCTAATACATAATAGACATCTATTGGAAATTCAAACGTGCTAGCATTTGCTTATGTTAAAATTACTCATATTATTTGATTTGTATTAGATTTTTTTTCAAAATTATCACCAGTAATTACGCGTACGACTACACTATGCAGTTGTCCGTTTGCTCTTTAAAACTTGCCTTCGTCCTTTGTCTGTCTATGTCTGTGTACGTGTCTGTATCTGTGTCTGTGTCTGTATTCGTGTCTCCTGGTTGGCTGTCTATGTCTGTATTTGTTTGCTGTGTCTCTTGTGTAGTGGGTGTAATTTGTGGTGTAATTATGTAAGTATTCGCTTCTCATATATGTAATTGCATTACTAATAACGCCAAAGTAACTTCTTTGTTAATATTTGCGCTTGATTTTTCGCTTCATATTCTTTTCTTATTTTTGTTTAAGATTTGCTTGGTTTAAGATTTTCTTTGCTTTTAAAATTGACTCGCGCTACCTCCTCTTGTTCATTAAAAACTATATTTGAATGTATATATGTGGATGTGGTGTCGTATTACTATGTATGTTATGATCTCTGATATATATATATATATATTTATATATAAATATTTATGTATATAAGTATTTGTATGTGTGTATGTAAGTATAAACTATAAGCCTATAAGAATATAGTTGTAGTTGTTCATCTTGTATTTATTCGTTTTTTTCATAGGTTTCTTTTATCCTTTAGTTTTTTTTATTCTTTGTTTTTTTATTTTTATATTCTTTGTTCTCATTATGCACATGCATTCTAGATTATTATGAATTCGTTTCGGTGTACAAAGTTCTTGTTTTTTGTTTAGTGTTTCTCATTTGCCTCTCGTGGTATTCGAACTAAAGAACAGAAAAACGATAGTAGCAAACAAAAGCTCTCACAGGATCGTAGATGTTTAGCAAATTTGAATGCAGCTCAGCAGCACGGAAGTAAAAATAGTAGGTCGAAAAGCGGAAACTCTGCTGGTGTCGCTGGTGCTAAAAAACCTTTGCTCCAAAATGCTTGCTCCAATATAAAGCTCAGTGAAAAAGACACTTCAGAAACTCGAGAGCGTTTGCTCCGCTGTTTCTTCCCCTCTTTAAAGTAGTAAAGTGGTAAATGTACCCAGTTTTCAACTCGTGTATGTGTGTGAGTGTGTGTGGTGTCAGTGTTGCTGTTTGTTGCTGTTTCATAATTGGACGGTTTCACAAATTTGAATAATTTCATTTTGTTTTTTTGATTCTTGGTGGTTGTCAATTCAGTATTGAATAAACTGGTCCATTTGTGTGTAGTTTGGTGTCATTAGGCGAATTGTCTAACGAACTAAGACGAAATTTATTGAAACATACACTCAAAATATGTAGTGGACCCTGTCATTATGAAAATGACGTCCCGAACGAATGTGTGGACAAGTTCAAGGAAAATTGTGAGTTGTTACGTTATAAACAGCACCTACCTTGCACCCCATGAGCATTTTATTTTGGAGTTGAAAACTACGAGGCAATTGCAAACGTAATTGAAATTGAACTCATATAATAAAGAAATCGCTACATAAAATTACATGCAATTATTAGCAAAAGCCAGCGGTTTCGGAAGGCCTTAATAACAAGTTCTTGTCGTTGACAACCTTTCAATGATCTTGCTTCAATTCAACAAAATTGCTTAACGAAATTTGACTAATTTGTTGCTTTTATTTAATTTCGAATGCGTTTAAATTATATTTAAATAATTGCTACTAGAAGTTTATTTTCTTGCTAAATTTCGTTTTGTTTTGGTTTTTTTTTTGGGAACACAAGCGCAAATAAACATAAACAATTTTCCTAGTTTTTCAAAATTTCTTAAAATTGTGTTTTGTTAAATAATACTTTAAAGTAATTACTTAAGTTTATGTTTTGGGTTTATTTAACCCATTCTTTGTTTGCTCTATTTGCTTACATACAATTCTTATTGGCGTTTTCGTAGAGGATTGTAAGAATTATGTCTGTTTTTGCAGTTCTGCTGCTTATTGAAAAGTGCTCCGGGTCTTTGTTTTTCTTTTTATTTTTCTTTTCCTTTTTGTTTTTGTTATACATTTATAATGCCTAAAGTGTATAATTTGAAAACTTAGGCCCTTAAATTTGAATGCTTCAAAATTTTGATATGTTCAAAATTCAGGATAACACTAGAGATTATTTGGCATATAATTTAGTTTAGGTTTACTTGCTGTCATTACTCGCTCTCTTCTCAATGCCCATAATAACAAAAAGGGAACTAAAGGATGTGCGTTTTAGGTTGCTTCTTTAACTGTATTTTGCCTTAAATGCTTTGCGAGTTTTCTATAGTTTAAAAGCAAATTATTTGTCATGTTTCAATTCCTATTCGAATATACAAAAACCTGACAATGATGATGAGTGTGTGGGTGTGTGGGGTGAATCAAAATAAAAATGCATTCGCCAGATACTTTTACATATATATTTATATCAAAATATGAGCGCGCATGTTACAAACTCTGGGCTTAAAAAATACGCTTTAAAAAATAACAACAAAATTTAAATATTAAATAAAACAAATCATATTATTACACGCACAAATATATTTATGATTTTTTTTTATATATATATTTAACCGATGTGGCCGTGCCTCTTGTTGAGGCATGTACTGAACCAGCTAAATATATTATATAAATATATATATATATTTTTGTTTGTCTCTAATTTTACTCATACAAAATTAAAGATACGAAAAATAAACACAAAATAAATTGTGTTAAATGGTAAATAATAATAATAATAAAACTATTAACATAAAAGTTCCAGATTACAGTATGTATATTCGTAAATTAAATAGCTACCAAGATTGTTATTTATTTTATATTAGATATTATTGTATTATAGTAGTTTGTTTATTGATCTGATTATGATCTAATTAGGAGCTTCAAGATCGTTGTTGCTTTATTCTCTTAGAAAGTAATATATATCAATTAGCATTTAACGAGATTGTTCGCTTCGTTAAAATTAAATCCCGCTTGTCATGAAATCATGTATGTTAATTAAATAAATTAAGTACAATAATACTTAATTTTTAGAAAAATATTTTACAATTAAGGATTATAAAAACAAATGTACATAACAACTAAGACTGTAAAGACACTTGAAATAATTACACGACGAACTAGTTATCGAGAAATGAGAAAATTGCAATAAATAAAATAGTACAAACGAAGTGTCGCTTAAAGCCCAAATTGCACATAGTTTTATTGATAGTTACATATATGAATGAGAAATGATCTACACATATGAATGCCCCAAACCCAAACCCCCCCCAACAGGGAGGGTGGTTGTCAGGCGGTGAACTACGAAAAAGTGTGTGAAGAAAAAATTCGTTTAGCGGCCCTAGCATTATGTTTTTATGTGTGTATTCGTTGATTTGCATTAAAAAGAAAGAAAAGTATTTTTTTTTAAAAACAACGCCACCATGAGGTAGGGCAGTCATGGGCTCGGATCTCTTTGGGTCCCACACAAACTGCCGACCGATGGCTCTTAAAAATAATAATAAAATTATACAACTCAAGTGAACAACTGATCGATTATCGTACTACAATATTATTAATTTGCATCTTTTATGTTAATTTCGTTTATATTATAGGTAATCTAACATACGCCTTTGATATGGTGTTGTTGCTGTTGCTTTATTGCTGATATCTTGAATTCTTTTTTTTATTTGTATTCCTCTACTTTTTTCGCATTTGCAATACGGCCTCACCCATCATATTTTTTTGTTTTTAGTAGTAGCTTTGCTTTGCTAACTTCACTTGGAGTTCTGAAATGTTTGGCTCTGTGTCTTCTAATTTTAAAACGCCTCAAAAATATGTTGTTTTGTTGTATGTTTGCTGTCTGCATGTCTGAACGATGCGGCTTTTCACTTAACTACTATATGCTAGATGTAGGTTTAATATATTTTCTTTTTTTTTTCTTCACTTAGCTTGTGTTATTTTTTTTTGTATTCTTTTGTTTCTTTTTTTTTGTTTAGTTAATTTGCTTTTTACATTTAGTGTAAATTAAAATTAATTTTAATGTAAATACAAATACATCTCATACATATAAATTTATGCCTTTTTCAACTTTGTAAATTAAGCACAAAAGTTATGTTTACCATCTTGTCTTTTTCTTGTTTTGTTTTGTTTTTTGTTAATAGTAAAAACATTGGCTTGTGCAAGTTTTTAATTCCTCTTCCTCTTCCACTCTTCTCTTGTTTAATATTTGTTTTAAAGTAAGAAATTTAAAATCAACTGCCAGACATGCTGCAGTGGTCGGTGCAGCAGTTAGCAGAAGAGCTTGTTTTTCTTTGCATAACTAAAATAAACTTCATTTAAAATTGCTAAATTTTTGGTTTTAATTTACACAATAAATATTTTTTTATTAAGACTTTTTCTCACGCCCGAATACTTGTCGAAATATTGTCCAAAGAAATGTTTCTTTTTGTCGCATTAATATATCCGTATCCAAAAATCATATTAACTATACAGAAGAAGTCTGCCGTGGAAATGTGGATAGGGGTAGGTGGATGGTCGGATGGATGATGAATTTGGGGATGGAAGGTCACTAGGGAGAGGGGTGGGTGGGTGAGTGCGGGCGGGGGCAGGGAATTTCTTTAGTTATTTTAACATGGTTTCGTTTTTGAATTACAATTATTTATTTTTGGTTTAGTTTGTTTGTCGTTTTTTATATCAATTAAACATTACATAGTTTACAATTGGTTTGGATTTGTTTTTCCATTTTTCTTTGCTGTTTGTGTGAGAAAGTCCTAATTCTTCGTTTGTAACAATAATAACAATTTAAATTTTTTTTGTATTATTTTCGCGTGTTTTGTTGTTGGCACGCAAACGCATGTAAATGTAATGTAAGGTGCATCAAGTGTGTTCATTCGGTGTGTGGCTTTTGAACGAGGCCATATCGTACATAGGCTGTTTGTTTGTCATACTAATCAGCTGAATTGATATATATATGATGAATTCAGTAAATCTATGCAAATGGCTCGTAGAAAAGTTACATGCGTTTGCGCCTAATTGAATTAATTGTAGTTGGTTTTCTCTTTTCGTTTTGTTTTTGTATGTAAAGTTGATTTAGCAATCAGTTTTTGTTTGAAATTCTTCAGTTGCTGTTGTTTCAGCATTCGCCACCCGCTTGTCATATATATATATATATCGAATGTGTAAGCCCATCATCAATATAGAAGCTGTAGAGATGTTGTAGATGTTGCCAGTGGTTGTAGTAGATGCGCGTCTGCTTCTGCTGGTGTTTTTGTCTTTTGCCCATTTTGTTGTTTGCTTCGTCCTCCCAAGTCTGGGCGCCTGCTTCTCTCCTTCGTCGGTATAGTTTTGTATTGTGTTCTAGTTAAGCCAGTTGTTGTTTGCTTGCTTACACAATCGTAATCAAATCTCAATTGTAGATGTCCACCTTGGTATCGACCTCGTTCTCCTTCTCGATCATGCCCTCGTTGGTCGCATTGTTCCAGGCGCCATTCATGCTCTTGGACGAGGAAAAGCACAGCTTCATGATGAATGGGAATTTGGTGCCTGTGTGGGAGAGGGGATAGAGGAGGGATAAAATATGTATAAGATGATGCTGGTTCCTTGACGAAAACAATCATTATTATATTCACACATATTCATTTAGTTATGGTGTAGTATAGTGTATAAGTGTTGTATATTCTTGAATTTAGTTTTTAGATATTGATTTTGCAAGCGCAATCTTCGATTGTGCGAAGGTATTGGAAAAGGGGGTATTCATTGGAGGTTGATAATGGATGATGATTGGGGTTAGAAATGAATTGAGACATTTTGTTGTTGCCTACCAATGGATTGAATTTAAACCCCGCTGGCTGCTCAATGGCTTTACGCAGCCAATATACTACCTACTACTCTGTATACCTAGCAATCAAAATCCCTCAAATGCGAAAACAGCATTGTGGTGTATATGCATATGTATGCACATCCGATCCGAGAGTGGGTGAAAAGATCTATATATTTGCTTTCAGCATAATTCTGCTGCCTGTGTTTGCAATCGGCATGCACACTTGCATTTGCATTTCCATTTGCGAAAAGGGGCATGCGGCGGCATGGGACATGGGCCATGGGCCATGCATTCGTGTGATTGTGTTTGCGTTCTTTACACTTTTAATTACTATTTACCATGCACTCGAGCAACCCTCGTAGCAGCATCACAAATGCGCCAACGACAAATAATCAAATCGAGGATATCGACAATTTATGCATGAGCATTGAACAGTTCTGTTGGCCACTTTCCTAATCGATTTCCCCCCTCCTTGCTTGCTCTCTCTTTCTGTAAACTGTTTTTCCTTTTCTGATGTGTCAAAGTCACTTTTCTACCAGCGTTTCCTCTGAGAATAAATGCAATGCTAAATATTCTTGGTGACAAATATGAATATTGGCCATGTAAACAAGCTCATAAAACCCTAGAATTTGCGGAATAGCAATTTGTTTTCAGGCGGAACTGCTGCTGGTGAAATATTTATGCGAAAAGTTTATATCGGTCGTCAACCCATTTGTAACCGAGCCGCGAGCTCCGAGACTAATTGTTGGAGAAATCCTTCCTCCAAGCTGTGGAGCAGTGGATGGTGGGTGGGTGGCTATACTAGGACGACCCATTTATGAATAACTGCAAACTGAAATTGTTTATCTTAATTACCAAATTAAAATTTTCATCGCAGCCAGCGACGTTACTAAAAAGTTTGTTGGCCAAAAACCAACCAAAGAAACATGAAAGGTTAAAGTTTGCATTGGGGGGCAGCGAGTGGTGGGCCAGTTTTGGGTGTTGCTTTTTTTAGGTGGGGGTGGTAGATGGGTGGGTGTGATTTTGATGTGCGGCTGCTGCTACTGCACAACAGCCAGAAGTCGAAAGGCCATGCGAAATAGCTGCCGAAACTTTTGGCTGTCGTTCAGCTAGAAGGAGTTTTTGGATAGGTCTCGAGTCGAACAGAAGGGGTGGTGGTAAAACAAAGTTATGTTGCCTACTTATTGGGGCGTGTTCTTGGAGGTTTTTGATGAGAGACAGAGAGAGCGAGAGAGTGCGAATTTGGTGTAAATTTTCGGTTTTCAGGAGGGTGGCCACATATAAATTTGACTTTTTTTCTTTTGAATAACACTTAAACACAACACTATCTCACCTTTACCCTCAATAGGCAGATGGTTGCACTTCATGATGGCCAGAACTGCCTGCGAAATGTTGGGGAACTCGATCAGTCCCGATGATGAGCGCTCGGTCTTCAATGGGAACAGGCGGACCGATGTGGCCGGCACTTCCTTGATATTAAAGATTCCAATCAGCTGGTCCTCGGTCAAGCCGGGCGGTGTGTTGAAAAAGTGCAAAATCTAAATGGAAAGAAAAATTTTAAGATAAATTTGTAATTTTTTTTTAAATTTTAGAAAACTTTACCTTGCTCGGTGGTTGAATGCGATTCTTGCTGGCCTGGGCCGGCGATAGGAAACGATTGTTCTTGGAGCCAGTGTACTCCTTGAAGCTGGGCGAATGATCGGGCAGCAAGAACGGGTTGATCACCTCGGATAGGAAGTTCTGCTTGGAGAAAGCAATCTGTATCTTGCCGCCAGTGCCCACGGGAATGTTGTTCAAGTGCTGTACGCAACGCTCAACGGCCACTGCATCGCCCATTTGCACCATGGCGGTGCCCTCTTTGGTCTTCAAGAACTTAATCTGCAAGAGAACACGAAGATATAGCTATAGTTTAAAATTCATAATTGGTTATCCCACAAGGTATCATTCAGTCAGGGAATGGTTACCTGCAATGTCCACCTCAGCTATAATTTAATTATATGCCTCAACTGGCTGGCACTATGGCCTTTATCCCCCGATTCCCACTATATATATATATATATACATATATATTCCCCTGCCCAAAGGTGCCTCCGGCTGATTGAATTCTCTTGTCGCTGTCATCTCTCGCACTTAACCCAATATGTCAGAGGAGGTATGGGGCAGAGCAGAGTTCTACATTTTCATTGAATTCAATTTAAAATTTCCTTCAAACGCAATTATATAACAGAATGGCGTCCTTAATTCTCCATTCATTGTATGTATGTGTGCGTGTGTGTCTCTGGCATATGAGGATATATGTATACGCCCAGCCACACCCACAATGGTTATGGCCGTGTGCCCTCCCCCTTATTGGGTCATCAAAGTCAGTCGTGTACGTGCCCAATAGCCAAAAATAGCTGAAAATATTATCATTGCTTCTGATTTTCACTTGACAAATATTCGAAATGTCATTTGACACAGGGCCGTGTATTATTATTATTATTATTATTGTTAAGATATTGATAATGCTGAACTGGCAAAAAAGTTTCAGATGCTGACTTTAATTGGATTAGAAAAAAGAGTGCTGCGGAGCTACTGAAAATTGCTGACTTCGACATGTAACTTCTCAAACTTTCTGCAACTTTCTTAAGTTTCCCCTCGTGTAATCCTTCACACCTCGCTGATAGCGATTTGTTGCGTTATAAAAGTAATTGACTGTAATAATTTGCCAAACAATAATTACAAAACTAGCCCAGAGAAAGTGAAAATCAATGGAAAATGCTGGCGGCTCAGCTTGGATAATTCCTTGGTTCGTTCATTCACTCGCTTGGCTGGCTGGTTGGTTGACTGACTGCATTGGCAAATCAATTTGCTGGCCACCGCCGGCAGGCATTGAACTCATTGGAGCGCGGGTTTGGCCAGAGGGGGCCGCCGCCTGCTACTACTATACTCCAGCTGTGCTGGCTATGCATTTTGGTCAAAGCCGAAACAAGTTTTCGCAATTGACTCTCGGTTGGCCAGCGAAATAGAGAAGCGGACCGAGAGCACCTGTCCAAATTGGACGACGACGGGCACTGCAATTTAGTTTTTCAAATGCCTTAATTTGGCGTATTGATGTCGGTCGCTTTACTCTTTTTTTTCTTTGCACGCACTGAGAAGTGAGCTTGGCATTTAGTAAACGTTTTTTTTTTCGCCAATTTGATTTATTTTCCGCTCGCTTTGGGGTCAACTGAATGTAATTATGAGACTGCAGGCCTAGATAATTGCCAGCTAGTGGAGGCCAAAAACTGTCAAGAAATCCACCTCAGGCTGACACAAAAAATCAATATTCTCTTTCCCCTACCATATGCTGCTGTTGCACAAATTATAAGCTCATTTAATAAATTATTCAATTATTAAATATAACCACCCATGTCCTTAGCACAACCAATTAACTGCAACATTTCAAAATAAACAAAGGACGTGGAAAGGACGCGGTCTGTGTGTGTAAATGGGGCAAACAATTTGCTTATAATTAAACCTAAACCCCTGACACATCCGCATATGCAACTATTCCACGGGGTGAGTGTGTCTAAAGTGGGCAGAGCAATCAAACCTCTACGCCTGAATGGAATGTATGGGTATGGAGGTTTTGGGATTGGTATTTGGATTTGGCTGGCTCTTGCTAGCTGGCTGGCCAAAAAAGTAAATAAAAACTAAATGAGGCTTATCGAATGGAAGGGAATACGAGAAACCGAAACCGAAAACGAAAAACCAAAAGCGAGACACGAAACGGAATCATAAAAATAAAACAATGTATAAAAATAAATATAGACCATAAATCAGTCAAGCAGAAAGCGCCCAGATAGCCCCTGCTGAATCCCCGAGAAACAAAAGGATAATGAAATTACACAAACATGCAAGCATAAGGACAACACACACACACACACACACACATATACACAGAGGAAATAGAACTGTTAGCCAGCGGGATTCTTTGGCCAAATCAAAGAGCGCTTCATGGCTGGATGGTCACTGCTGGATGGCCAACAGCCGCGGCCGCAGCAGCGGCAAACATTCGGTGCGTGTCTAATGAGCTGTGCTGTGTACCCCCCTTCCTTCTCTCTCTCTCTCTCTCCTGCCATTTTGCAACCCATGACCCCTAGTGCCAGGACGCCACTGCGTTAATTAAAATGCGACCCCCTCCTCGCTTTGTTGTGCAATGTGGCATGGTGTCTGCTGCTCTGCCATTTGATTTAATTGCTCACGCGCAGCTCAAAAGCGGCAGCAGAGCGGCAGCGGCTGACCTATGCTCCCCAACCATTTTTCCCCACCCTCCTCGAAACTGTATGCCAACCGAAAAACCCTCACCCTCACCCACAGTGTATCCAAATGTTTTTTTAATGCGTATTTAATTGAGTGCGTGTATTTTGTTTTTGGCCTTTAAAGGCACACTCTCCATTTGACTTTTCCCCCATCCCCAAACTGTAACCTTTGCCCTGTCGGCAGCTTGTCGAAGAAGTCCCTCGAGGTCCCTCTCTCCTCTTTCTCCTCTTCCTATACTGCCCTATTTTTGTCATGCCATTTAACCTGAAAATCAATTTGATGATGACTTCATCGCCCGGACCCAGAAATAATTAACCAGATTGCTTCGTTGGGGCGGAAGGAAGGAAACTGCTTGGCAATATTTTCTTCGATGGGAAAAGTGAAAATTACAAATCGCAAAATGCAAACACAATTCAAGCGAATTCCCCTGGGTAACACCCCACCTTCCACCCCTACACCACTTTCCCCCCAAACGACATATTTGACAGGCATCGTAGACGATATTGACAGCTGGAAAATTGTAGCCAACATATTTTTCGGCAGGTTAATCAAATTCCTTCCAGCAGAATGTTTATGCCAAGCCCTTTTAGGATCGTTTTATTGAAATCTAATATCAGGTATTTCCGTTTCTCTAAAATCCACAAGCGTAAGGGCATCCGGGCTTCGTTTATTCATAATTTAGGGAAGACACGAACAGATCCCGAATGCTTACCCATGGGAATCCCATTAACACCAACACATGGCGAAGGCGTCTGTGTGTGGGTGGGTGAGGGAGGTATGAAAAAGAGAGGCTGCTGGGCGAAAGGAAACTCATGCAACGGCACTTTGATTGAGTGGCCATCAATTTCTCATTCGCAATTCAAACATGTCGGACCATAAACTCGCAGATACATCCAAACAGACACACTCACACACACTCACACATCAATACACACACACACACACACACATACGTGCCCATCGACTTTATAATGAGGCAACACAGCCCTGGCTTTTCACTCTTGTGAACTCAGTTGCATAGCGACAGGCGCAGCGAACCGAGAGCATGCTTTGCTAGGCGGGGGAGGGAAAACTCATGGCAGAAACCGAGAGTTGGGCTAAAAAGCGAGTGGGTGGCAAAAAGCAGAGGGCCAGAATGGAGAAATGTATGTTTGCGGCTTAGCCAGGCCAGTGAATAATGTTTGCGCATAATCATTTTTAATGGCTAATGAGTAGTTTCCGTCTCGGACAGGAAGTTGGCAATAAATTTGGCCCTATGGGCATCTCTACTACCCCGTTCCCTCCCCACCCATCCTGATTCTTTTCCTTCTAGCGCAAGGGTGCAAGTGTCAGAGAAAGAAACTGAACTAAATGGCCGCGCCTTGAATTATCGTGCCCACCCACTAAAGTAATGGCCAAATGAGGAGTCCTTCCACGGATTGTGGTTGTATTGGTTGGAATAAAGTAAACCAAAGGTCAGTTAAATTATTGGCTAATGGAGGGCAGCAGTTGGTAAATGCAAAAAATAAAACCTAAAAAGCTAAATGGAAACTTGCCTTGGCTGCATTTTTTCCTTGGCTTTTTTATTTGGGTTTCTAATTTGAAGAAACACTTTCTGATTTAAATTTAAAAAAACTGAAGCTCAGATAAACCCTTAAGTGATATTTTTAAGGGTTCGCTTTCATTTAGTATACGATGCAGTGAAATTCCTTAACGATATAACTCCTTTGAAGGATTGAATAACCTTTGGCTCCCAGCTACTTCAGTGTGCAGGGAAAGTGGTTTGGGTGGTCGCCTCCTCCAGTCAGTTGCCTTGACTCGCTTTATCACAGACATAAACTAAACAAAACATGTCAGGGGGAGAGAGTACGCTGGAAGGGAATGGAAATGGGAATGGGGCAAGCAACCAACCAAGCATTCCCGTTGTCCTTGGCGAGCGCAATTGTCAAAGGACACACATGAGGGGGCGGAATCATAGTGGCAATAAAGTGAAAGCTCTGGCACACGCCAAAGAAGTTTTTAGCATTTGACTTTGATGTTGGTGGCTTGCTACCCACAAGCTCATTGTTCGCCGGGTGGTTTATAAGTGGGTGGTTTAGATAGCTGTAAGGCGTTCTCTGTGGCTGCACTAAATGCTCCCCAAGCGAGTTTTCCTTTCTTTTTCCCCACCGCCTGGCGACTAACAATGAGCACATTCCGAATTGCCATTCGCCAAGGCTTTTTAATGGATTCTTTTTTGGTCGTCATCGTGTTTTGATTTACAAGCGACTTGCCAATCGTTTTGCCATTGTAGCTGGCAGTGGCAGAGGTGGTCGAAAAGAAGGAGTGAGTATATATGGGTTGGTCTTTTCGCCCTCCAACCACCAACCACGCCCTAACAGATAAAGCTGATGACGCTGCACTGATTGCTGTCCCGAGGCGGGTCTCTCTATGTATGTTAGGGAACCGAAAAACCCCACACATGGCGGGGATATTAATCTAAAACGCTTTATCTAAATGTGTTTTGCCGATTCAACTGGCCTACAGTATAGCTGGAGGTTCTACTGGTCGTCGCCTCCGCTGTGCTGTGTCCTGGCCTCGTCCTTTTATTGCCTTTCGTTTTATTTGCACATTTACAAATGGCACACACACAAAGACAGACACAAAGTGGTCGTGCGGTTCGCTTTTCCCACTCAAAAACACCTTTTTTCTTCATCGGCCGATATTCTTCCTTAGCCGCAAAGTGCTGACGACCAAGCAATGAAATGCGTATTTTCTTCGTCGTTTCTTTTTTGTCAGCTTTCTGGCTAAGTGCAAGCTTTCTTCTTGCCTTCTTTTACAATCTAAAAGGTCATAAGCAAAAGGGTTCAAGCTCAGGATGATAGGAAGAAGAGTGTTCCAGTGTTTCCTCAAGTGGAGTGTTAAACGAACATTTGAGTGTGCCTTAACTTTAGGTTATTTAAAAACCAAGGGGCCAACCTCAACTCTTCGCATATTTTCCTTAAAAAAAGGTCAAGATGATGGATCGACTATTTAACTCCCAAAAACATATTAATGGTTTAAGTTGTAAACAGGATTTTAACAAATTACCTCAGTAAAACCTCAGTAAGATTAATTGCAAAAGGAAATGGGAATAAAACCCAAAGATACCTCACTAGCTGATTCTTATGGGAAAACTTAAATATTGACTGTCCGAAAATGCAGTTGAATCTCCTCCCATTCCCGTCAATTTCAATCCAGAAGCTTATCCCGCCTTGTCTTTAATATAAATTAAATACAAATTTAAATACAACTTACCCGGGCCACGTTGCCGTACAGGCAAACCAAATTGAATAGCTTATCCGTGTTGGAAGTGTCGTGGTCGAGTCCGTAGACCATCATGACAGCGCCCTGAAGAAGCCGCAGGAAGGAGAGATAAGGAGAAAGTGGAAAACAACAGGAATTAATTAAAATTCAGAAGGATGTGGGGTTGATCAGAAATTGTGGACAAATAACAATTATATTTGGGCACAGCCTCTGGAATATTGCGAAAGAAAGAATGTACCGAAATCGAAAGAAGATACTCACCTGGGCCTGTCCTTGTGGTGTAAAGGCCACCGGAGCATTGCGTCCGGCAACGACACCGGAGGGTTCCTTCATCAGTCCAGTGGGATGGATGGCGGCGCCCTTCCAATTCTCGGGCGTGGTGGGATGATATTCTGGGGCTCCGAATGGCGGGAAAGCGGCGCCGGGTCCCAATAGTGGTGGCTCTTTAAATTGAACAAGATTGTGCGATTGAGCTGAGGCAACTAGTTGATGATGGTGGTGATTGTTGTGTTGTTGTAGTTCTTGTTGTTGTTGATGTTGTTGTTGTTGGTGGTGGTGGTGGTGATGTTGTTGTGGTGTCGACAGTGTTGGTACTGCATGTGCATGTGTTTGTATTTTTGGTTATTCAATGCATGCAACAACAATAAGCGATAGCAAATAACAAATGAAACGAAACAAAAGATAAACGGAGAAACATTTCTTTAGTTAAGCCAATTGTTTAAAACTAAAACTTAAAATTATCCAAAAATTATTGTTGTTGCATGAAGTAGAAAGTAGAAGTAAGGAAAGGATTTAAGTAGTTTCCAAAAGTTGAAGAGTTCCTCTCTGCTCCCCACTAATATCAAAATCCTAAACCGAAAAAGGGAAAACCACGAAGCAGGCCCACAGACATCATATATATCCCTCCACAGACCAGGGGCGCAGATTTTCCACGAACGGCCGGGGTGCTGGACATTTTTGGCTGCGGTTTTGAATATGCTGCACCCCTTCCTTTATGCCGGCTGCGGTTTGGCATGTAAGTTAATTGAATTTTTGGCAGGCGTAGGAAAAAATGTGCAGAATATAGAGCCCAAATTGGTCTGTTCCAGCGTTCTTTGGGGTTCCATTTTGTGTTTTGCTTTACAGCGGTTGCATTGTGTGTGTTTTGGCCATCCGACCAAAGAGTGGCATCAGAATGGAACCACTCGTATCGGGTATTATCCCATTCCAGCCAAAAACAATAAAAACGACAGCCTTGCCCGCCTTGCCTTCCCTTGCCTCGGCTCTCTCAACGAAGAGGCAATAACGGAGCTAGGCAACCACAGCATTGCAAATCTGCCAACGTCTTGTAATTAAAGCAAAAACTACGACAGAACTGCCAAAATGTCGCGCTAAATATGGCTGAGATGGCAAAAGGAAGCCCGGCAGTTGGCAGGCATTTAATTAACTTTAAAAGTGTCACCGCCGCCACTGTCATGTAACTTTTTTCAGCCTTGCTTAAAACCAAACACTTTAACCTAATCACTCGCAAAGTAGAGGTAAAAAGTGAGAAAGGTACACAGTCGCGTCGGGAACTCAATTTGCATGGAGCTTGTTATGCCAAAATGGCTGCCCGAGTTGCCATTTCGGAGCTGTTTTTGTTTTGATTTGATTTAGTTGCACCACGTCGTAGTCGTACTCGTCGTCGTAGTCGTCGTGTGGCAAAGCCAGCAACTGTGGCTTCACCATTGGGGAGTCGTCCTCGTCATGGCTGGTTTATTTTGGACTTTGGGGCTACCTGACAAAATATTTGCATAAAAATCCAAACACACACACATACACTAGCGGTGAGAAGTTAGCCGAATAAAAAAGGAGAAAAGGTGGGGAAAAAACCAAGTGGAGGTTTGTATATATGGGAAAAAATCTGGCATTTTTATGTTGGCTGTTAGTTTGGAGCTGTCCGCTGTTTTTCTTTTTCTGCCGCGAAGCGGTGAGTATGAGAGGGACCCCGAATGCAAACAACACAAATTGATGCAATTTTTCACAAGTCCTTAATCCGTTTGAATTTACGTGCGAATTTTAAAGCGTTCCGCCCCCGGAAAACTTGGCCTAGGCACGTTTCAATTCAGAAACTTTCCCATAAGTAAATAATCCTCTGCCAATGGAACTCCAGGCGGTTTGGGTAACGAAAATGTTTGTATTTGGGTTTGGGCTTGGCCATCTCCTTGCCGCTCTCCTGCTAAACCTTTTTCGATACTCCCCCATCGCTGAGTCAATAACAATACTAGATAAACCAAAGCCCGAAGCCTTTGGCCAAGCAAAACCAAAACCATAGTTATTCATTTCAAGTGCGAGAGCGCCCCGCTGGTAGGGCTCTTTAATTGAAATTCACCGCCTTAGCTGATTTGCAGCAACACGGGGCGTATGCGTGACGCCAGCCAAGCGAAATTGCCAGCCCCAGCTTCCGTTGTTGCGCCTCCCGAAAATCAAGTTTTCCCCCTAAAGGTCTAGTAGGGGGCAGAAGGCCAAGAAAAGAAATTTACGCCCCCAGGGCTGGACGAAGGACGAGGATGACGACGCCGTCGGAAGCGTGCCTAAAATGTTTAAGCATTCGGGGAATTGTTGCATGCAATTGCTGGAAAATGTTTCACACGCAAGGCGTCGAAAAGGAGCAAAAGGTGGCAAATTGAGCAGGTGTAAATTTTCAGCGCGCACAAATTATTTTAGATTATGTGTTCTCGCAGGGCAAACGGAAGTTGGAGTTTAGTTTCGTTTTTTTTTTGTACTAAACATTAAGTAGTTTGTATGCGAGTGCTGCGGCAAACCGCAGTCATTTGCATACAGAAATGTTTCTATGTGGATTACGTATACGACACGTGTGTCGCGATTAAGTGCTTTGTTGGTTTGCAATTAGGAAAGTTTGGCTGCGAGCTAGGTGGTGGACACTATACTCGTGGTTAGAAATTTAACATTTTGTTTCTAGAATTTAAGCAAGCGCTGCAACAATGACATGACAGAACGAAATAGAGTGTCCCCCAAGCGTTACAAAGAACGCATTTCTTCCACCGAAACCACAAAGCGAGCTGCACAGAAATCCATTAAAACTCAGCCTCAATGTGGGGCTTAAAACTGGGTGGCAGCTGCACCGAAAGCTAGACAAATAAAAGAACGCATATGGCCGCAGTTCTATGGGTGTGTGTTGAAGGTGGGTGGGTAAGATAGGTGGTCCACAAAGTATTTATGCTGCAAATTGTTGCATACTTTGTGTGGCGGTATTGGCACACTTTGTCAGCAGGCGTTGGGTGGAACTAGGGATTGGGAAAGCTGAAAAGTCGGTCCAATGAACAGGGTAATGGCTGGCAAACAAACAACAACATGCATGCGCATTCACTTTCCCACACAACCCCCCCAAAAGCTCGTTCACCTTAATTGCAATTTGCTTAAATGTATGCTACAATATTTTTCAGCAGCAGTTTCGTCCCTTTCTCCGCCTCCCCAATGATTTTCAATTTGTTAGAGTCAACTTAGTAAAGAGTGAGAGCTCGATGCGAAACTGTACTGCAAAATATGCCAAGAGTCATGACGTCGTTGTCCCGTTTATCTGGCTGCATGCACAGCGCCACGCCCAGTCCAACCCACCCACCACTGCTTTCCCTTGATTTTCCTCGTGCGCGCCGTCGTCATGTGACATTAATTTTCCCCCCAACGCTCCTCGATCCGGGCGCGCACAGTTTGTGCTCACGTCTTGCATAAACATTTCCATAAGCAGCTTCAAAATTGAATTTGTTTTCATAAGCAAAACTATTATGTTGGCAAAGAGTTGTCCCTGTGTGTGACATGATAGCGATGAGCCAGTGAGCGGAGCAGTGCAGAGCTTATAAAAAATAATCATAATAGAGAAGAGATTGCGAGAAAACGCTGGCACATGTAAGAAGCTCCGGGAACTCCGATGAGCAGCTAGCTGATTATGTGACAATGCGCCTGATTGGTTTTTAATGTTCCGAAAAACTTTCCACTCTTCCTTGCAGAGATTGTGGGTGCTTTAAGCCTTTAACTGAAGGCCAACAGCGTTGGAAATGCCAATGCTTATCAAAAAGAAATCACAGGAGAGACAACGACCCACGGCAATGAGCCAATTTATATGCGATACGCAAACCCCATTCTCTCGTAGAAATTAGTCCGATAAGACGGAAACCAAAAAAGGGGGGTGGAAAAAAGGATTGCGGATTTTTTACGACAACCTTGGAGCGTGGAAATAAATTTGTGCTCAACTCTCATGAGCTTAATTACATTTACGGCGGATTTGAATAATATAAACGCATGTAATTGCCGTTTGTCGTCGTCTCCCTACCAACTTTTGTTTATCTACTTTTCCCTCACTCTGCGGACAAACAGACAGACAAACAAACAGGCAACAGACAACGCGAGCAAATAAGCCAGGACGACGAGGAAAACAACATAATTAGAAGCAGAAAATGGCATTTAAGTTGTGCTGGCACGATAGGACCTGGCTTATAAGGATTTATAATATAATTCATAACTACACACACGGGTTAGGGGGAGACCGTATGCGACGACTGTTTGCTTAGCAAATTGGCACGGCTTGGCCTTTGGTCTTTGCCTTCGGTTTTGGCCAACCTCTCTTGGCTTCGCCTAATTATCGCATTGGTAAACATTTGGCAACACCACCACCAACCCCGTCCGATGCTTTAATGGCATGCAAACACATGTGCAATCAGTGTCCACCACATAGCCATAGTCGCTCGCCCACACCCCCGCACTTATCGGTCTGAAGAGTTCTTGGCCACAAGCACTCGAGTTTTTAGCCCTCTCCTCGAATTACTCTCTATTCGGCACTGATGCAGTTTTGTGGTGGTCAAGTGCAAAAAATAAATGTTCAGTGACATTTCGAGAGCTAAAAGGAGCTCTCAATGCGATATAAGCTGGCTTAAGGGCCACACACTACAACTCCAGTGGCCGCCCTCGCAGAAGGCGCTTGTTTGTTGTGGTTGATGTATTGACTTTGTGGGGGGTTGTGGTTTGGTGGTTTGAGGCAGAAAAGCGATAGCCCACACCCACTTTGCAACCAACGATTGCATGCGACATTTTGAAGCGTTTTTCTAGTTAATGGAGCTGCTCTCCGTGTGTAAATATATACCCACTGCATATTTATGATATTCATATAAAACCCCCCAAAAACTATCAAGGGGTCTAAAGAAAAATTCCCTTTGAATTGCGCCAGCCATGCTCTAATAACAAACTTAGTTCTCCGCTTTGATAAAGTTTTTCCACTCCCTCTTTGGTAGGAAAAGCGAAAATCGATAGTGCCATAAAAATATAACAAACAATAAGGGGAAAAAAGAGAGGGGGAGACGGGCGCAACTATGGCAAAGTGGCGATGTGCAGCTGGGGGACAATTTCGATATTGTAATTTGGAAAATTGCACGATTCTCTAAGCGGAAGATGGATAGAGGGCAAAAACTGCAAGTGGCAAACGCATTAGCAAAATGTCCAATTAATTGCTTTAGAAAATTATACCAAAAAGTATGCGCGAGCGCATGACAAAAAGCTGGCATCGTTTTTTCTCTTTTTTTGTTCTTTATCAAGGCAGGCGCGGCTGGCCAGATGCTAAATTAATTACAAATTATTAAGGGAAAAAAGGAAGCGAGAGCAAAAAGTGAGATGAAGCAGCCGCGTCCTGCATAAATTAGGCGGCAAAATGTTGGACTTTTTGGTTCATAAAACTGCCAAGAGCCACATTAAAGAAAATCATTAGGCATATTAAGTGGCAATATTCCTGCCCCTTTTCGGGCCTAGAATAATTTAAATGCAAATATAAGACAAAAAATGACCAATAAAAAGGATCCAATCCAACCTGTCGTCGCTACGAAAATGAATCAATTGCAAAAGTAATCAAAACGGCAAACAATAAAGCCTTCAATAATACCGCAGGACGCTGATGAATTGCCGGGCATTAAGGCGGATGGCCAACTGCTGAGGGAAATTTAAAACTGCCAGCTCTCCGCCGGATATATATTCCTTCGTCCGTCCGGCCAGTCGTCGCAGTCATCAATCACTAGCTTTTGATTGAAGATAATCGACGCAATATTGCGTGGAGTGGCAAACTTTCCATATCCTCCTCTTCGCCTCCTGCTGCTCTCTCACCCACCCAATTTTGGCTCAATAGTTTCCTTAGCGGAAGCAGCAGCAGCAGCAGCGGCAGCAGCAGGACTGGTGTGTCCATTAGCGCTCGTTAGTGGGGCATCTGATGGTGGTGGTGGAAAAGGAACTGCTGGAAGGTGGGTGGTGCAAACGAAAGTTCAGCCAGGCGACGACAGCGACATTGTCCTTGTTCGACACGCCATCTAGCGACAGCTAGCGGCAACATCGAGCTCATCGTTAGCTGCGTGCGCCGATGTTGACAACAATTTGATTGATCGTCTTTGATTGATGGATGTGCGCCATAGCGGCAACTCCTCCACAGCAGCACCGCCCTGGTCTCCTTTTCCTGGCGACTTTAAAAATCCATTTGCAACTTTTATTGATGCCCAACATAGATTTAATTATCCCCATCGTTCCTGCCACAAGCGGTTTTATATATATATATATATAACTTTTTTTGGTGGGCTTTATGGTCTGCCAATCCAGTGACCGCAACATGACACAATTTGTCATTTTCAATTTATTGAATTACCATAAAATGCGAGCGACACAATTTATATTTTTTGGACATGCGGCCTGCGGTTGTCGGTTATTGTTGTACATGTTGCTGCTGTTTTTTCTGTTGATCTTTCCCTCTGTCTACCAAACGAAATTATTGGATTTCACTATGAATTTATTGTGGGAAGATGTCTCACTTTTTGCCACAAGGGAGTACCCCCCATATACCGCTTCTGAAACCAACCACAAGATTTACGGCCTGTCAGCCCAAGGGTTTGGGTTTGTGCGTGAAATTATTTTAGTAGAATTTTCACGTTGAGGCGAAGAAAGCAAAGGGAAAACAAAAAAGTTAATTTAATTAATTTTAGCTGCCGCAAACACACAATTACTAAGCCAAAGTTTCGAGGAAAACTGCATTAGGCGAGAGCAAATATTGGGCTAAAACAAAAGGAAAACCAAACACAAAAAGCAACGAAATGCGCTGTCAATCAGCAGAAGTAAGCCACAACAATCAGACCCAAAAGGCAAATAGAATGCCACCCACTTCACGGCAATAATGCCAGCAAATTAAGCCACTACAGGAAACAAAAATAAAGTGAGATATGTGGATGTATATTATTTTTATGCAGAGACACCAACAGCTGCCAAAGTTGGCCAGGGTAAAGATAAACAAACAAGTCAAGTTTGCCTTCGATGGGGGCAGAAGCCTCACACAACCCCTGGCAACTCTGGCTGAGGGAAAGAACCTCGTCTCGGTCCCATTTTGAATGAATATGCAAATACTGTCGTATGGCAGAATTTGCCATATTAACTAAGTGATTGGCGTCCGGGACGGATGTGCGTTTAATGAACGCCCACATAAATCTCCCAGTGACTCGGCCGCTGATCCCATGGAAAACAATCTTGGGCAAATCTTCAGAAGGCAACCACCATAAACATGTCAGGCGGCAGCGCACACACATCCCCTCCTCTTCACCACTCAACATACACATCCCCATTGGTATTTTTATGTATTTTTAAGTGTTTTTTCGGCTTCTTCCCACCTGCAAAAAAGCGACATCTGCCGCGAGTGATGCTGGCGGTTGAGGTGGTGATGGTGGTGGTGGTGGTGCGAACAGTGGGCGTGGCACCGCTCGTATTGGACAGCCTCGGAAAAGCGGAGCATTTAAAAATAAATATAAAACGGAGAGAGAGAGAGCAACCCAAAGACAGAGAGACTCATGCACATTTTATTTTAGCCACTTTGAAATATATTTTTAGCAGGCCGTGCTTTGCCACCCGCAACCGCCGTCGGCTGCTTGCAATTAAAATTAATTTATTTGGCAATTATTGGCCATTGAAAGCATTTATTTTAATTATGGTGCAAATTTGTTCGGCTTCTTGGTCTTTCACTCGCGCCGTGGTCCACTGAAAAATTGCTCAAATGGCAATTTCATATTTTTATGACACCATCTGATGGCTTGGGTGGTTTCGGCAACGATTATGAAAATGAGCCATAACCATAATTGACTTGAGATCATTTTCTATGCACCTTTCAAGAGTCAAGAATCCTCTTTAAGGTAAAGAAAACACAGAAATGTCTACCCAAAAACCATTACACCCTTTTTATGGCTATATAGAAAAGTTTAACCCCCATTCGACGTTTTGAATGAAAATTGCGTGCATTGAAAATTATGCAAATGGGCAAAACAATGAGAAAAATGGAAGAAAAAAAGGCAAGGAGAAACGTGAAAATCTTGGACAACCAATGCCAAGCAACGTCATCGTTATAGAAATGTTAATGGACCTCGCGATATAAACAGAAGAAAAGCCCCGAGAAAATGCAATTGAAAATTCAACGCAAGACAAAAAATGTAAATTGCATTTTGCTGGCCAGCAGGAAACTGGAAATAAGAACCGATCCGAACGGAACAGCAACGAAATTGATTAATGGCAGAAAATAAATTTCGCATAGAGATGCAAATTCGGCGCTGGCATCTTTTGATCTTTATATTTTTGCCCAGATGCATTGTTTTATTTTGTAATTGAACTTTTGCCCAACCACCTACCCTCGCTTCAATTTCAATTGGAAATTAATTTCGCCGTTTACATTTCATCACAAAAACTCCACACCCGCCCCTGTTCAATGTGTTCTTCAACTTTTGGCCCCCAGGACGATTGATTGATTCGATCTGCAAATGTTGATGTACGTGTGTGGGTTTGTGTATTTGTTTGGTGTGTGTGTGTGTGTGTGTAGGGGTGTTGTGTTTGGTGTGCGTGTGTGTTTGAAATGTGCTCTAGTTTCAAATGTACTTACGGCTCTCAAGCATAACAACATTTTCGGGTATAGAAAACAGCGACTTACCTGAAAAGACAAAAGAAAATAAATGCGTTTAATGATTTGTGCAATCGTTTGGAAACGGCACAAAATATATATATATCATATATAGGGTATTGATAATTCGAACAGTGAGTGAGTAGTACAAGAATTCAATTTGAATAATTCATCTGTGTTGAACAGTGTTTAGCGACAAATGTTGCAAGGGGAGGGGGATAAAATTGGATTACAGTATTGGGAAGGAATAAGGTTTTTCAGCACTATTTTTGAGTGTTGGTTGTTACCTGACAGGTAACCTTATTTTTGCTTTGTCATTATATTTTCTTAGCTTGAACATTTCATGAAAAGTTTCTAGAAGTTTTCATAAGCAACCCCTTTTTATTGCCTAGTCATTACTGCTTTCTTCCAATTTTCTATGAAAAGAATACAGCAACCCTACCTACCTACTTTTTTCAACACGGAAATATGGGTCTTTGCCATTAGCATTTTTCTTAGCATAAAAACTATAGAAGAGAAGTTTCTTCAAATAAAATTAATTTTAAATCAATTCCAATTCTCTTAGCGAATTTTTATAAAATTTCCTAGAAGTTCCTACGGGCATGCCATTTTTACGACTAGTCATGATGGTTTTCTACCAAAACCCCATGAAAAATATTGTATAGCAACCGACAACCCTACCTACCCAAAAATTTATTGATCTTTGCACCAATAATGTTGAAATAACGAAACAATATTAGTAACTTCTGCTAAAAGTGGTTTAATGACTTGCAAGAAGCACAATTTCATCGCCACAACTTTTTTACAAAATGACAGCAACTGTCAGAATAATTTTACCGAAAACTTTTACCCCAAAAAACTCTATTAACCCTACCGCCGATGAACCCCATGGCTTACCGTTAGTTTGATAGCAGCCTGGATTGTAGGCGTTGATCGGCTGACGCTTGCGATAGACATTAGGGTTGCCGCCGAGGCCGGCCATTGGGCTGCCGCCCAGATTACCGCCGCCCATAAGGGCACCGGCCTGGCCCTGCATGTAGTTGTAGTTGCTCTTATTGCCACCAAACTTGCGCGGCTGCGAAACGACAGCGGTATGGACCAGCTGGCTAGTCGGCACCGACTGTATCACGCCCTGCTGTGGCACCGTTTGCGGCTGCAACTGCTGCGGTGTGTGCCACATGAAGGCATTGGCATTGGCGTTCAGGTTATTCATTTTGTGTTTCTTTTTCTTGGAAATCGATTCAAAATCAGTAAAAGCACTTTTGTGGATAGTGAAAAAGATCGAAAACGTTTTGCAAAGAGTTTAAAACCGGCAGCAAAGTCAAAGAGTTAACCAAGGAAAACTGTAAAATGTAACGCGTCACAAGTTAACACTGTATAAGGTAACACAACACAAGTTTTATGGTTAGAGTGGATTTTTTTTTGATTTTTTGTTTTATATTTCTGTGGTTTTTGTATGCCTAGGTGTTCTTTACGGTAAGACGTCCAGTAGACGAATGAATTGCTTGGCTAAGGATTTGACAGACCACGACTTAAAAGCCAACTTGGATTTTGACAGGCCTACTGCGTCGAAAATCCAGAAATCCAGAAATCCAGATAGAGTTGCCCTAGAATGGGTTGGCAATCCTTGAAAATTGGAGTTACCCCATTAATTTATGCCTTCCGGCAACACCTTTCTTTAGGCTGTCTTGTTATATAGAAATGGCAACTTTAATCGATGTTTTTATCGATGATTTGCCAAATCTGGTCAAATGGGAATTTAAATCAAAGTCATTTTGAATTCTGACAGCAACGATTATAGTTTTCTGTACACTTTTTTTTGGTTAAATTCCGATAAGTTATGATTTAACTTACTTTTCTCTTTTAACCATATGACTTAAAAGGAAAATTTATCATGTTTCTAGGTTACAATATGATAGATATCACAATCAATAAAAGGAACAAGAAAGTCTTCAGACAGCACCTAATGTGAACTGTCGTTGATGGAATCGAATAAAGTTGCCTAGAAAAGAGCCGCATTTGCAGTTCTTGAACAAAAGATACTTTGTCACCGCAGCACAGTTGCCGGGCGAGAAAGAAATATGGCACATGACAAAGCAAAGTTACCGCTGCCAAAAAGCCGTGGCAGCCACGCCTCCACTGCTCGTATGCGCCCCCCTTCTGTCCGTCTTTCAGTCCATAGAGAGGGCTAGGCTACCCAAGTAAGAACGGCATGCCACGAGCCACGGAATGCGACTGTGTCTGCGAGTGTGAGAGCGGAACGTGGCCATTGTGGCAAGTGCCAAAAAATGCCACACGAATGAGAAGTCCATTTTAAGGACACCAGAGGGTAGAGGGGTAGTAAAAAATGAAAGGGGGGACTGTACTGTAGCTGCTGCTGCTGCTGCATTTGCACAGCCAAAACAAAAGGCGGAAAAACTTTAACCGCAAAAGTTTTTATTTACTCGTTCCTGCCCGAAAATCCGCAGCAGGTGAAAACTTCTTCTGTGGTGCGTGGCCAGAAAAAAACATAAAAGTTGCATTAAGTGGTAGCAAGGCTTCTAACACAAAAACCCTATAATAGTATGCCAAAAATTAACTGGGAACAATGCAAAATGCTTAAAGAAAAGGTGGCTTTTTAAACAAACATTTCTAACTGTTAAATAAACTTTAAAGTTGCATTTATTAACTCAATCTATTAGTAAAAATAAAAGCAATCGAATTCCTTCCATAAAAACAATATTTTACTCTCCTCAAATGAAAACAAAAATTTGCATTTACTTTTCCATTAAACTGATTTAAATTGATTTCGCTTTCCTGAAAAATAAATATCTTTCAAGATTTCCCTAGCAATTGAATTTGGCTTTCGGTGCTGACTTCGATTGACTCAATTACTGGCACCGTTTGGCCAATTAAAGTCAGTCACTGTGCACCTCAATTGGACATACTCCATCAGGCTCGGGGCTTGAAAACCCGTCAGGCAGAATCAGAATCAGAATCGCAAAATGGCATGCCTAATGAGAACTGAAATGCATTTCATTATGCCGGGGCGAGGACAAATGCATAGCCCCGAACTCCAGAGCAGCACTTTGCTTAGACCCGAACCGACCCTACCTACCCTGCCTCTTGACCCGATTGCCACCTCTTAGCCCTGGGCTCAAAGTGCGTTAATTGCTCGGGCATGGCCAGGAAGGATGGATGGATAGATGGATGGAATGGCTGACAGGTGGACGGAAGAGTACTTCTGACAGAAGCTTGGCCTGAAGTGCTTTTTTTTTTCTTGGGGAGGAGTGGTTCCTTCCGGACACACAAACACACATTTACTGAATTATGCAAGCCGGCCATAGATCTTTTACGAGCCATTAGGCTGCGGCGATGATTCTGTTGATGTAAACGTATCTCCTGGCACAGATCTCATTCGAGCCACATTTGTGCTGCTCAATCACCGAATTCCTTTCGATTGCCAAAAATAAACCACAACAATGGGGCGCACAACCAAGGCATTTTTAATGAAGTGTATCTAATATAGAAATTAATTAAACAAAACAGCAAACGACAGCTAAGCAGGCGTATTTACATGGCCCGGGTGTGGATTGCAAGACATTTGCCACATGCCTATGGCCATGGTCACCCCCTGGGAGCTCAAAAAAAAAAAAAAGAACAACCAGAGGCTTGCGAAGAGGGGTGCCTCTGCCTGTTCCATCATTACCTTCACAGGTGACAGCACAAGTTCAGCGTGCGTTGAGTGAAAACAGAAACTCAGCTGCTGACGTTCCTGAGTCTCCGGGTTCCATTCATTATGCTTATTAGATTTGCCTGTCTCTGGTTTTCATTCTATGCTTTCATTCTCTATTGTTATTCTAGCACATTTATAGAATGCAAAAGGCAGCCAACTCAGACGAAATCATCAGAGGCTGCGTTTAAATTTAATTACATTAAAATGTCTTGAGCAATTTCGGTTTTGCGTCTCTGTTCTATTTCAAATTAAAGAATTTCCTAATTACTAAATTCCAACTGGCAAGGCAAGTTGGAATGTGCGGAAGTTGCCAAGAGTTTCAAAGGTGCACAAAGTCTTGACTCGAGACATGATTTATTATAATTTAAGACTCTCCTAATCAATGTTTTGTTACTCAGTTTAAGCTTTTAAGGCAGGGATTTCAGTTCTTAAAAGGCAAAGTTATAACGTTGTTAACTTTGTATAGCGTACTAAAATTTTAGAATGCAATCGCTTAGGATATGCCCCACACTAGTGCTGATCTTCCATCAGTTTAACAACTTCCGCAGGCTGCTGCAGTCGTAACAACAAAATTTCACTTTTCCTTTTGATATGTGACATTTATGGCCAGGCACTTTTAAGCCAAAGCTGCAGTTTTACCTCCGAAGATAACGCCAAAAGTGTGTGAAAGTTGGCAGAGAGTTTGTCATGCAATTAGAGCAACATGCGACGACATGGACGACGACGAAGACAGCTCTGGGAAACTCACGCTCCGGTTGGGGAATGCGTTTTTCTCTGGTCTTGCACTGGCCCCCAGTCTCAGCTGGAAAATCAAGTTTTCCCATCTCAACCGCTGGGGTACGAGTGCAGTGTCCATGGCCAGGAAATAAGCGTTGCAAACTGGCGGCCAAAAGTGGTTTTCACCAATTGAACTCGTTTGCTGGTTGGTCTCTGCTGTTTCTGATGCAAGCAAATCGAACGGAATCGAACGAAATCGAAATCAAAATCACTTTCGGAATGTGCGTTACCATGGTGCCATTGAACCGCCGAGCTGCTCACGAGAGCTCATCAGGAGCCATTGGCCATTGGCCATCGCCATCGCTATCGCTATCGCTATTGCCTGTTGCCATCATCGTGGCAGTTATGTAAGCATATCGGAAGGAAACCAGTCCAGGGATTCGATGCACTGCATCGTTTATTTGTTTGTTTTCTATTTCTATTTCAGCAGCGCAAATAGAAATATATGCGTAAGTGTAGGAAACATTGTTGCGGCGAAAGTTTCCCTCTGACGGCTGACCACGAGGAGAGCTTATTTGATGGCTCTTGGCCATAAACGCTGCTCATGTTGCTATAAAAAACTGGAGCGATTGAGAGACGATGGTAGATGGAAATGGAAATGGAAATGGGAATGGAGGAAGTGGAAGTGGAAGTAGAAGTGGCAGTGGAAGGATGTGGCGCAAAGGAAGTAAATAATGCGGTGAAATGAAATTGGTGAAATGGGAAATGCTATATTGCGGACTCAAGTGGAGTTTGGACAAGAGAAGGAAATTGAATTTACCAAGAACTTCTCTTTGGGCAGGAAATTCAAAACAAGATACGACACCTTTCTACCACAAACAAACAGATGAAAATTCAACCAATTTGAATAGCACATAGCATATAGTATCTGAACAATGTTGCAAATAAATGAACGTGCTTAATCTAATAAGCCGCGAACATAAATCCGTACATAAATATTCTGGCCGTCAGCTGTCTGTCACTTCGAATTAATGCATTAATTGCTGAGCCACAGGCTAAAATGTGAAATATGTTTTCTACCCAAAAAATATATATAATATGTGCAGTGGGATTTACGCGACAGATTTCAACGCCAAATAAAATTGCACAAAAAAAAGAGCAGTGTGCGGCGTTCAAGAGAGTCGTAAACAAATTCGAAATCTAATTCTAATTGGCCAGCAAAAATTCACTACACTCAGAAAAAGTAATGGAATAAAAATGATTTATAAAATAAAATTCCCTTTTAACTGCTCTAACCCTCTTTATATCTCTAAAACACCCTAAAAATATTTTATTTTTCTATTAAAAACCTTTCTCTGACTGTGTACATTCGGCTAAATGCATAGATCACAGCGATTTAAGTGTCTGCATATTTTCCGAACCGACTGGAGTAAACAAATACCCGAAATAAACAAGCGGACATTCTGATGAAGAGACCACCCGCCACTGCCCCCTTCAAGCTATTGCATAATTCGCCAATTTTATTTTCCCACACCGAATCGTATCGCATATTGAACAATTTCATTGAAAACAGGCGCACGCAGAAACTATCAACAACAGAGCGTCATATATATATGTATACTGGAAAATTGTAAACACTGGAAAATGGCTAGGAGAAAAGAGTATTTGCACTCCATGGGGCTGAGTGGAAATTTGATTTTGGCGTCTCATTTATGAGGTGAACGAAATTCGAACAGAATTTAACGCAATGCAGAGGCACATCGAATCTGTTTCTATTAATCGCTTTTATTTCACATTGAATTTCTCGCGTGCCTCTGCTCTGTTTGTTTGCCTTTGGCGTTGTTAATGAATTTACCCATTTTGGCCAACTTTCCAAGTGCGAAGCAAGGTCAATGCCAGCACAGCGAGATGCCAATAAGAGATATTATGATTCTGGATATTCAGCTGGGGATCGGTAGGAATTTTCTCTGTGTGCTTATATAACACTTAGACAAGCGTAAACACTTGATTTTCTATTTGAAATTGAATTTTCCGCTTGATTAGCGGCTCAGAAAGTTGTTAGCTTTTCAACTCTTTTATTTCTAAGACGATCGTTAAGAAGGGTGTTTCATAAAATGGTAAGATCTTGGTAAACTTTAGCTCTGATGTTAAACTTTTCTTTACAGAAGCACCTCCTAGTCTTTTCTACTATCTTGGCTCTCGTCGTTGCCAAGGAATTCAAGAGTCACATGACTGAAATGTGCAAACCCCAAGTATCCAGGCAAGATCTTTTCGATATAGCCGTGACCGCTGGCGCTAAGGTCCTCATTCGGCAGTTGGAAGGTTTAAACGAGGAACTGCCGATCCCTTCATCTCTGATAGTTCAGATAACCACCATGTTCGCCAAGTACCTTCTGTCCGGGAAGAGCATAGAGTTTATCCTGAGATTGCTCTACGTAGCATGCCGTCTAAACAAACCGTTGGCCATTGAAGCGAAAAGCCAAAAACCCGTCCGTACAGCCTACCTATGCTTGTGGGAGATGGGTAAGGAAAAGTGCTATTCATACAAGGGCAAGGAGGAAGGTGACTTTTCTGTAGAGACCGGCGGCATGTAGATTAAAAATATATGAATATAAATTGAATATGAATATAAATATGAAATATATGTTTATACTTAAAGCTAACCAAATGCGTTCACAGACTTCTTCATAAAATAGTTATAGTTAAAGTTTAATATCTAAGAATAGGCTTAAAATTTAATGCTTCTTTGCATAAAACTAACCCTGCCCGTTTCATTCTTGCTATGCGCACTCAGCAAATTAAAAAGTGCAATGTGCTGGCAGGATTGGATATTCCTCATAACCAAATGGGAGCCACAAGCAATGGATCGAACGACAACAGCCGACAACAAGGTCTGCCGTTTATTAAAATCGGCAGCAGATGAGAAATACGGAGAAATGCATAGAGATATATAGAGAAAGAGGATGGAATGGGACCCATTTTTCGCTCTGGAGCCGTGTCAGAAAAATATTTCATAAGCTTGCCACCAACGACGACGCAATTAAATGTCAAAGCGCTGCGCTGCCATTTTGTTATTTGATTGCCTGGAGGCTGTCGAAGCTAGTGCAATAAATTGTGGCAGCCCGTTGGGAGTGTTGCAAGTGCAACTGACATTGCAATAGCACAACAGCACCTGCTACCATTGCATTTTCCCTAAGCAAACAGGAGGTACATTGGTTACGTAGCAAAATATACACAGAAGTTGAATTAAGTTTCTTAATTTACGTGTCTATGTTAGCCTACATGGTTAAGTTCTTTTGAACTCCTTTAATATTCCTTTAATTAAATAGACGACGAGGCGTATACGCGATCTCAGCCAAGGGTCTTTAATTGCGCATTCGCCCTGTGGTCCGGCTAATTATGGCCTTCATTGACCAAGAAAATATTTTTCAGGAAAAAGGTCAAAAAAAAAAATATAATAAAAACATTGGCCTGCGGCAGCGCATAAATCATTCATACGCCATGTTGTACCTGCCATGCCATTGATTTATGCTCGCCCAGATATTTTTCGAGCAATTTTTAAGTAACTTTTATTATGACAAACGCGATGGCATCTGACGCTTTGCTTCATTCCTGATTTTTCCACAAAAACAAACGAAGCTCATCCTGCCGACGAGGATTCCTTAATATTTGGCAGCATATCGAGGGAGTATTTGATAAATGGCCACCTATTAAGCGAGCAGTTAATGGTGCATAACGTGTGATATATTGACAGCCAGCAGCAGCAGTGTGCCTGGCATTTTTACCGAAAGTCCGGGACTAAGAAATGGGTCAATTAATGGCCAACTGACTGACTGGGCCTAACATCCTTGCTGCTCCATTTTTATTTAGCCTGACTAAACAGAAAATTCCCTAGGCTAAGCCCCATTGTAAATTCCGTAACAATAAACGTTCTCGCTCAAAATCTCATTATGTTAAGTAAAAGAAGGAATGTGTTTAAGCCTCTGTGTGTGTGTGTATTTCGGCAAAACAAAGAACGAAAATTATTACCACTTTTGCTGGGTTTGCAGCAAATTGAATTGATTTTAATCTCCATCTTTGTACACAGGACTCCCTTGTTCCAATAAAATTTGCATTTGAAATCGCTTTTCAAAAAACTTGCACAGGAGCTACCGTGTGTGTGTATGTCTGTCTTTTTCCTCTGTGAATTAAATTCGGGCCCAATAAAAAAAGTTAAAAGAGAGCGAGCAAGCGAGGGCAAAAAAAATTTGCAAACACTCGGCCAACTTTTATGCGTGTGCCGGATACGATAAGAGCCACAAGGCGATGCCAAAACAGATACAGAAACAAACGGCCTGAACGGAGGAAATTCGGGAAAAAGTGGCGGAGGAGTAGGATGAGTAGATGGAGGAGGTGTCTACCCACAATCTGCCCGCTCGCAAATAAACTTAAAAGACATATGAAAATCAGTTTTTGAATATTGGCGAAGAGCAAACAGGCAGACTGTTGCTGCCTGTGCGTATATGTACGTATCCTTTGCTCTACTCCTGCTGGAACAGCACTTCGTCCTGGCACACAGCCAGAGGAGCCGGAAAATCTGGTAAGAAGGGAAGAAGAAGGGCCAGTGTAACCCCCTTGGGCATAGCATTAGGGTAAATGTATGCACAAGTATGTACGAGGGTGGGTTCTCGCATATCTCTGTGAGTCTACATGCAGCCAGCAGCAAATGTAGTACGAGAAATTTAGATTTTTGGGTCATTACTTTGCCAAGGAAAACTCGCAGGGGCAGAGGGTGCAGCGTGTAATGCCCTGTCATTCGGTTATATCACCACACATATTTCTCAGCTATCGATTGAAAAGTCAGAAAGCGTTTGCTAATATCATGCGCTACACTAATCCCGCACTGCATTTATGCAGATGCTGTTGAACCATTCATTGGATCAAATGCCACTCGGAACACAATTATCGCATCAACACCATTGAAAGCCGCATAATGGCCACACAACGCGGCGGAATGCATTTACCCCAAATCATGTTAGTTCACAGCCCAAAATGCTGAAAGGCCTCAATGCCAAAGAATAGGCTAAAAGCTCATGTTCATGAACATACTCGTACTCATATATGCGATGCAAATTGCGCGTGGCCAAAATGTAATGAACAAACGTGAATCGGAAAATACCAAACGAGCGGTGCGAAAAATTTGCGGCCAAAAACTGTTTGAAAAAGAAAAAGGTGAGAGGAATACAAAAGGTGAACAGAAAAGGTTCATTCATTAGCGGCTTTCCATTGGCAACCCCTTGATTGCAACTAGAAATTTATGATACCGATAGCCTTATCTATGGAACTATTAAAATCGGATTAAACCTCAATCAATGTGAAGTACATATAGTAGATTATTTCCCTGACTAAATTTTAAGCCCACAATCTCTAATTATGTTTACTTCAACTTGGCTATCGTTTGCAGTAATCGAATCATTGAGCTCGAGGCTCACATCAACAATTAAATCAACTTAATTGAGAGATTGTTTGGAGGGTCAATTAATATTTGGACTTTGTTTAGCTGTTATCGAAGGTACATACTACATTTACCTGGAATTTCCCTCGAAGCAAACTAGTTTCGAAGTAAACAAGTTTCCCAACAATCCCGAAACTCGGGCCATCAATTAAAAAACCTTTTTGCCAAAATTAGCGCACTCAATTAATTTGGAAACGCTTTTCGCCCCGCAACCCAACCCCACTGGAGAGCAAATATCCTAGTGGAGACAAGTTGCAGCTGCCACGCCCCCACCTTTTACCGCCCACGGACGTGCCCGTGTTCAAACACACACACACACACACATACACTATATACACCATGACAGTGAGTGAAATTTCAATTAATCAAGCGGCGGAAAGGATCCCTCTGGACGGGTTAACCCGTGTCTACACAGCAACCGGAATCGACCCAGAAAACCAAGTAGATGAACAGGAGGTGAAGAGGGCGGATGAGGAGGCGGTGGATGCCACGATATTTCCAACTAGAAAACTCAGAGAGGAGCGGCACACATTTCCCTTTCGCTCGTACTCTTGCAGGTGGTGATTAGTCATTATTTATTTTAAAATCAATTAGGTTGCCTTGACGTGAGAGTGCAGGTTGGCTGGGAATAATGGGCCAGGAGCCGAGGGAGGTGCCAGCCATAAAAGTTCACGTCTCATTGGCAGGCAAAAACATTTTTGCACATAACTTTTGGCTTTCGGGTTTTTGTGCTGAGTAATTTGGCAAATATTTGACATTTGTTTTTGTTCGATTGGTTGGCAAATTTAGCACAATTTTCCCCAAAATTGATTTCTCAACCAATTTTCCAATGGCGTTTGATGTTTTTTTTTCTGGGTGTTTTTCAGCTTTTGCATTCTATAGGCAATAACAATAAACTTTAGAAAATATTCTTTACATATGTCGAGCACTAATTGGCAATTACTTTGCCCGCAGAAAGCCACAAACGACATGCTTAAAATTGAAATTGGTAAAGTTATAGGATTGGTAAAGTTCCTTTGCGAGAAGCCCTAGCAAAACTAATTAACTTTTGAAATGCGTTCAATTCGCTATGACACCTGACAAATATTTGATTCGTAAATTATTGCAATCTGGTGAGCTGGCCTCGCCCAACGATGGCTGTGTAATTGAACGAATGAGGAAATGAATTCTGCATAGCTGATGAGCAATGAAGACATCTCGTCTGCCAAATGCAAATCCAACTAGGAGGAGAGAGAGAGAGTCAATGTCAATGAATGCTCGACGAGTGCCGAGCCAAATGAGCAGAAATGTGAGGCAGGAAATTAAATTTACAAGAAATTGCACAATAGTTGGGCGGGAAAAACTGTTGCATATCCATCTGTGGATCCAGGCTATATAAACTCGTATTGTTGCAAAGGATTATATGGTGATGCTGGTTATTTCTTAAGCAGAGCTGTCAACGTTTACAGATTGGTTTTTCAGTCAGTGGACTTAGGGAGAAGACACAATGACAAATCTGGGTAAATCCCAAATAACAATGGAGACGAAACATAATTTTATTTAAATTAGTTTTCTTCCGCCCGTTTTCACAGCTTTTGTTTCGCCATCTAATAAATATTTGAGGACTATAAATAGAATATTTAATGGCTCATCAGAAGTCTTGTAGGAAAAGTGAAATCCTTTACGCTCCTAAATCCTAACGCTCCGCAAGCTCTTTAAGCTCGTCAAGTGCTGCAACAATTAAAACAAACTATACAGGCGACATGTGTTGTCCTTTTTTGCGACCCCGGGCAAAAGCTTATGAAATTAATCAAACAATGCTGGGGAGAGCTGAGGACTCATGTGGCAGCAGAACATGCATAAATCAGAGCCAGTTTTCCCTGGGAAATAGTTGTGTTTGGGTGTAGTGGTGATGGTGCTGCTGCTGCTCTGTGTTTTGAAATGAAACAACATCCCTAGAGATTCTGTCGTGAGCTGGCCAAAAAGTCAAAAGCTCGCTGGAGGGTTGGATTCAGCGTTGTACGTTCTGCGTTCCGCACAATTCCCATTCATCAGAGCCTCTTAGTTGAGAGTTTTGCCAGCTTGCCAACCAAAGGGGGGCCCATATAATAACGCTCTAATTTGCATGTGCAGCTGCAGCAGGATGATCAAATGAAAAATTTCATCGCATGTCACATGTGCCACGCCCAGTGACCAGCCAGTCAGCCAACGAACCAACCAACCAGCCAGCAGCAAATGGAGCTTGGCAAATATTATATTTTAACGAAATTTCATTTAAAACGGAATTTATTCAAGCCCACAGTCGGTGGTTAGTGCTGCAGCCGCCCAAGGTTGCCCTCCATTAGGAACACA